TAAAGTTTAATTATTATATAATATAATTTATATATTTAAAAATATTTAATTTTTTACAAATTTTAATTATATAAAATAAATATTTAAGTTATAATACTAATAAATCACTTTTTTAAAAGTCAAAACTTGAAAGGAATTTTGAAAAGTGAGAAAACAATAAAATGAGGGTGTACTTGCTTCCTAAATATGCTATGTGGCATAGCATTGTCCAAGCACATACCCCAACGCCACCTCCAGCACGATACATCTCGTGGCACAGATCACCCTCTTCCCTCTCCAATTAGGGTTCAACTTCAACTTCGTTTTCTTTTCTGCTCAACATGGCTGAAGAATTTCTCGAAGACAAGAAGCGAGTCCGGAACCCTTTAGTCCCCATTGGTAAAAAATCGTTTTTTTTCTTCTTCTTTTTTTATCTATTCCTTCCTCTTTAATTTTACGCTTTCAATTTCAATTATTTGCATCTTTAATTCGTTATATTCGTGTGCCCTTTTTCGCGTTTATATATATATATATATATATATATATATTATTTTTTTAATTTTTTTTTAACTGAAAAGAGGATGGAATGGAGAAAAAGTTGAGAGGGGTTATAATAGGGGAAATTCTTTGGTATGAGACAGTCATTTGATGAATTTGTAGAGTATGAAATTGCTGTAATATGATCTCAGGAGGGGCCTATTCTCCATGTTGCCGAGGAAAGGTAGAGTAGTATAGGTTTGTTGGGGAATTGGGATCGCAATAACAAAAGAGGGTTAAGAGAAAATGTGAGTGATATGCCACTGGAATTGTCTAATGAGAAGAAATTGAGAAGAAAAAAAAACTTTATGATTTGGAGATGTTCCTGATGAATAAATCTGAGTTGGAAAATTTAATTTATAGATTGTTGCACCGCCATACGTTTGAAGCATAAATTGAAAAAGATGAGCTGTACATAGTTGGCTTCTTGATGTGATGAATCTGCTTTTTATGCCATCAGGATTTATTATCTGACCCACTGACCAAGTGATCATTACTTTACGAGGGATGAGATATTAGTGCAATAAGTTTACTTAGGTTGCTGAATTTTGTGCATAAAGTTCATTTTTGGTGTGATCAATCAAAATAATTAGTTGCTGTTGGTGATCACTGTATGCTAAAGGATTTAGGAAATAAATCCTCTAACTTTGACATTAGAATTTTCACTTCTAGAATGGGAACAAGAGTCTCTCGGATTTCTAAGATTAACAAAATGTGAAGGACATGTGGTGACTGGTGAGATTTACCAGCATTCTTGTAGGGATTTGTCTTTCTGATGAACACTCTTTCACCCTGCAAGCGAATAAGCTTACAAAGTTGTCTTTGTTTACATTTGCAAATGAAGCGACAAGGAATTTGATGATTTCAAATTTAACTTATAATGTATGATGGAGTTTGAATTCGAATTGGGGTAACATCAATTTTACATTGGTTGGTGATTGGAGATGGCTAATCCAAACATTCTTTTGTTTTGGTGGTTGGATTGGAGCTGGTTCTTCTTTATGATTGTTTTGTTGTCCCTGTCATTGAACTTATGTAGGTTAGTTTAGTTTGATGAACTTTTTTGTGTTGATTTCAGGTGCACTTGTTACTGCTGGTGTGCTAACGGCTGGCTTAATCAGTTTTAGACAAGGTAATTCTCAGTTAGGCCAGAAGTTAATGAGGGCTCGTGTGGTTGTCCAAGGTGCTACAGTGGCACTCATGGTTGGCACTGCCTTTTACTATGGAGAAAATCCTTGGCGATCAAATTAAATTTTTAATGCCCTGAAAAAAAGTTTGTAATTGCTTGGTTCCTTGTTGGATTTAGTTTTATTTTTATTATGAAGAATATGGTCATTTTAAGGACCAAAACCCTTGCCAACATCTTTTAAAAAATTTCTTGCAACACATAACGATTGAGTTCATCTGAATGTACTCTATATACAGTTCTTTAATATAATAAACGACTCTCAACTGACTGTTGCTATACGGAGAATATTATAATTGCAATGGGACTTACACGGCCAAAGAATTAGCTTCATTATGGAAGCCAGGTTTCCAAACCAGTAATGTTGTTCTTACATTTGTGTATTTCATTTTCTTTTTCACACAAGGGTTAGAGAGAATTGGAAATCTGGTTTTTCCGATCATTTTTTCTTCCCCATAAAACTTGGGTGTAGAAAATGAGTCTTCGAAACCGAGTAGCATTTTCCTTTCGTACTTGTTGATGCTATTGCTATCACAGCACAATATATATACATGCAAGTAAACAGTAGAAAAAGAAAGAGTAAAAGTTTGGAGAAGCAAAATAGTAAAACATTTTTCTTCTTGTTAAGCAAAATATTCACGCGCGTGTATACACATATAGGATGGTGGGATCAAATTACGAGTCAGTTTGTGTAAAATTAAAACAAGTGTATTTTTAAAAAAAGCTATTTTGTTTTTCAAAAAAAAAAAAAAGATTGATAGGAGTTGCTTAAAGAAAAGGTAAAAAATTGTTTATTTTAGGAACTTTAGTTTAACAAATGAATATAATATTGTTGTAATTATTACTATTATACCATTAGTAACTTTGTATGCACGATTGAGCATTGAATTATAATTTTATATTATTTAAAATATTTTTATTGAATTTTATTAAAATTGAAAATATATAAAAGGAAGAATATACTGATTTTAAAAATAAATCTATTTAAACTTACTTTACTCAATAACTCATATTTTATATCAAAATTTCAATGATTTAATTGTTTTATAAAAAGTTTTTAATGCATATACTAAGTCTACAAATTTTTAAAGAAAATTTAAAAATTATTTAATATTTCATTTTATTAATTCAAATTGACAGAATATGAGTTATTGAGTGGAATGAGTTACGAAAACTTACTCTTGGAGTAACTCATATTTTACATTAAATTTTAATGATTTAATTGTACTTATTTCATTCAATAACTCATTCTATATCAAATTTTAACAATTCAACTGTTAAATTAAAAAAATTTCATGTATAAATTAAGTCTACAAATTTTTAAAATAATTAAAAATCATATAATACTTCATTATATAGATTCAAATTAATGTATAAAATATTTTTATGATTATATATTAATTTGAATTAATGAAATGAAGTATAAATAATTTTTAATTTTTTTACAAATTTGTAAACTTGATATATATATAAATATATATATATATTAACAACTTCTAATTTAACGGTTAAATTATTAAAATTTGATATAAAATATGAGTTATTAAATAAAATAAGTTTACTGAGACTTATTCTTAGAAATGAAGTAAGGTAGGGTGAGAGACTTTTACACAATATTTTTAAAATCAAACTGATTATTAAATCAATTTAGACACTAGTTCAATATTCAATAGTTTAACATGATTAAACTGATATTATAATAATAATAATAATAATAATAATAATAATAATAATAATAATAAATGTTAAATAATATAAAATTAACTAAATATAATATTATAATTTCATCACATTGAAAACTAAAATAAGATTTTAATATTCAAAGTACACATAAATGTCTGAATATAGTATTTAAGTTTAAATTTAATAAAATATAACAATGTCTATTAAAAATTAAAACTTTATTTTAGAATAAAAATAAAAGTTAAATTAATGTACTATAAAATTTAAAAATATCAAGGATATAGAAAATTGTAAGTTAACTTTAATGACTAAATTATTCTTTATAAGAAAATTATTGAAAAATAAAAAATAATTTATAATCTGTATCAAATATGTTTTTATTTATTATAAAATATTTTAATACATTTTCAAATTAAAAAACAATCAAAAATTATTTTTTTAAACAATACCAATTCAACCCACTTTTCTATATCAATTTGACTGGTTCGCATCGGTTCTAAATCTACTGATTTTTTCAAGTTAACTGATCAGTCATCAGGCCGATTTTCAGTCAAGTTGGTAAAATTTTCTATTAAATTCAAATTTTGTAAAGAATTAGTTAATTTTAGCATGCAAACTTAGTAACCTTTTTTTGTTTAACTTTAGCATGCAAACTTAATAATTTTAGCAGGCAAACTTAATAAATTTTTATAAAAAGATTTAGTCACGAGTTTGGTGTTTTTTTCTTCTTAATACAAACCTTGTAGATTTCGTGCTTTTAAAATGACTAATATAACATAACAAATTTCATTACGGAATATCCTAAAAGTATTATTCTTTTCATCACACATTTATTAGAATGACAAAAATATATATATTTTTTATTAAAATGTCCTTATTCTAAAATAGTTGAAATATAATTATAAATTAAGTAAACATTTAAATAAGATATCAATAAATGACTTTAATATAATGATGGAAATTTTATTTTCAAAGTACCATATCTTTTAAAATGTTAAAATTAATGATAAAAACGTAGTTAAAAGGATTTATTATATCACGTTGAATACTTGATAATACATTTTGTGTTATGATTCTTAGGGTTATAAAGTCGAGTTACTTTGGGTAATTACTAATTAGTAGTACTTACAAGAAAAATGGTGAAACGTGATTGTCACATTGCTATAACTTTTTGATAACATGTGGTATGTCTCATGTCGACATTTTATCTCTCACACACATTTCCTATATATGTGTTCCTTAATTTCTTTCTAACCTCTCTTCCTTCCGATTACTTTTTGATCATAACGCGATCGCCAATACGATTTCAGGGTTTCAGGTAAGCCATCATTTCCCACGTATTTTAGTCTTACTTGTCACATAACCAATCCACTTTTCATTTCTTATCCTCTCTTCCTTTTGATTTTGCTGTAAATCAAGTATGTTTAGCATTGCATGATTGTTTTTCTTTATGTTTGGCTAAATGGGTTGGGCATCGATCTTTGTTTCGAAATTCATATGAATTTTTTTGTGACATTGTTGGTTGCTATTATTTTAATTTAATTAATGCAAATAAGCTTTTTTCTCATTTTGCCCTTCATTACCAGATTGGTTGTTGGGAAGTTGAGAAGTAAGATAAAAAATAATGGGAATATTTTCTTTTGCACAGGGAATAGATGCAGTTGTTTGTGAAAGATTTTAACTTTAATGTATTTTCACTTTGTGTCAAATGAAGCATGCAATTGTGCAACATTATTACGCTCTTTGTATAGCTCTTCTATGTCATATTTTGATTACTCATTAGACCATTTCATTATTCACTGTTGTTTGATGCTCTCCTTTGAACTTGCTAACTTGGTGTTTCAATATTCTGAAAAATGATAATGTTGGTCCACATTTTATTCACATAGATGCTTGTCTTATTGTAAAAAAAAGTTACTAGTTGAAATATTCTGCTATTCTTCTGAAATAAGTTCGCTGTTGTTGTTGCAATTGAAGTATTCTTTTGAACTAAGTTGAAATTTGGTGTAAATTTGTATGTGATGTAAATTTTCAAGTTTTAGGAGTATCTATTGTGATGAGAACAACTATATAGTATATACCTCAAAAATTATGTCTCTGTTTATGTCTGGTTTGCCTTTTTTTTTTGTTTGATCCATGACATGTGTGTTTGGTTCAACTTATTTTGGATGAGTTATTACTTATTCTTACTTGTGTTCTGAGAAAGCTTTTTAAAAAATAGATGACTATTTCTCTAAAAGTGATGTATACTAAATATTCAATGAACAACATTGATATATCTTGATCAACTTGTTTTCTTCACATATGAGGCTTCTACTTTTTTTTCTTGTTTGTAATATATATAGGAATCGTTTGGAAAGTTTGTTTTAGTTTTTTTCACAAGAGAGTGTGCGTGCATGCGTAAATCGAGATTGCAATAGTAATCTCTAAATTTTTACTCTTTAATATCTTCGTATGATATAGGGTGTCTTTCATTGCTGATGTGAATTCTTTTTATGGATCAATAGAGACACATTTGTTGATCATGATTTTTACATCAAAACAATTTTAAAGTTTCTTATACTTGAGTTCTCTGCTTCTCTACACTGTGCATGTATATCAACATATTATGAATCTTTATGGACAAAATTATGTGATGGTTTGATATGCAGAACAACACAACAAATATATCAAGATATATCAACAAGTTATTCATCCTTATATTAACTTTATTTTATTGTCCTTTTAGCAGGTTGAAATAAGTGATTTATTATAATCAAAATGTCATCTCCAAGCAAGAGAAGAGAAATGGATGTAATGAAATTGTAAGCAAATTGTTTTACTATGTGTTTGATGTTAAATTATTCTTGAATTAATGGTTATAGTGGTGGATTTTGGTAAGTTTGGTAATTTGAATTTAAGAGAATTTTTTGTAGAATTTTAACATTCAGAGATTCACTTATAGTTTTAGACCAATTTTAAAACTAAACTTTAACTAGTCATAAAGACCTTGTTTGCTTTTATGAAATAAGACAACCATTATATATAATTATGTTTAAGATTTACAAAGGTCTAAAATATATTTTACACTTTTGAAGTAAGTTATCCCTGATCTTTATTCAGCTTATTGACTCAATCCTTTTTTTTTAATCACTGAACCTTCTATAGTTTTGTTTAAATTGAAAAAATCTTTTAGTTAATCAACAAGAACTTAATCTTAGACATTAAAAATCAATTTTCAAGGGATTTATATGATAAATAAGCAAATTTAAGAGATTAATGATGAAAGTTAGGACTAAAACATTACTTTATTTATGATTTTATTTTCTAGCGCTACTTTTTTTTTCTTTCAAATGTTGAATGCTTGAAATTGAACTGCATCCATATAGTACTTTGTCAAAGTAAATTTTCATTACAAATCGATCTCCTTTCTTTCCTTTTCTTCTTTCCAAAAAATAAACCAATTTTAATCACATATGATGCTTTCTATTTCAAACTTAGTTCTAGATTCATTGTATATTTTCAGTTATTATTTACTTATCTATTTGTTGTGGTGTTATAGGCATCAACAATTAGTTAAATTTCGTTTGATCTATAATGAGTAGGTTGTAGACTAGACAACAATGGTATGTTAGTGTCTTGGTGGCAATGCCATTTATGTATGTTCTTGTTACCTAAATAAAGTTGTTATATAGAAATATGCAATAGTATTTTTTGGTGAAATATGGTGCTAACAAGCTATTTATCATAATTAGTTGTTTGATTTTGCTATAGACACGTGATTAGAGAGTGTAAACAAAGAGTTTGAATTAGTTCCTAAAGTTATGGAAATAATATCATGATTGAATTCGATAACATCAAAATAATGAAGGTAGATGGGAGTGATTTAATTTAGTAATATATATGTACCTTGAATAAAAATATCCAATAACTTTTACAAGCTTCAAATGCATTGCTAAATTGGTGAGACTTACAGAATATGTACATTTTTTTATACCCAAAAACATATGATAAAAGTCCAATTTGGATAAATGTTTCAGGAAATACTTATGGGTAAAAAAATGTAAAATAAACTAAAATTATCTTGAGCTAAAATTAATATATTTAACACAACTTTTTTAGAAACTCTTTCACAACTTCAAAAGTTTACATCTATAAGTTAATTTTAACCTATGAAACAAAGTTTATTTATTTTACTTCCTTATTTTCTTCTTTATAAGTACTTGTTAGAAATTTATCTAAATTGGTCATATGTCTAGAACTTTGTAAGAGACTTAGCCTTAGTCAAACAATCTTGATAACAATACTATCATTCATCTAGAGTTAGAAAGTATGCAAGTAGTGATTTGTAGTTGCATGTTTGTGATCTTCCTATTATATTTGTTGTATGAACTAGGACTATAACTCTTAGCATTATACATTTTTCCCATTTGTGCATGTATTCATGATGAACTCTAAGCAAAAAAAAATAAAAAATTGTAGTCATATTTCTCAAATATATTTTACTGTTTTGTAGGATGATGAGTGATTATACAGTGGAGACGATAAATGATGGTCTCAATGAATTTAATGTGGAGTTTCATGGTCCAAAAGAAAGTACAGTCAAAATTCTGTAGTTAACTCAATCTGTTGTTTGATGAAACTTTACATATTACTTACTAATCAAATGTTTCTTAGGTGAAGATTTTCCATTTTTATTTTTCCTTTCTCTTAAAGACAAAAGACAGAAGGAAAAACAACTTTAAAAGAAGTTTATTTATCTTTAATAGCATAATTTCCATCTTACACTAACATGTTATACTTCTTCTTTAACTTGACATTTGATTCCTTATCTTTAAAAATTGTGAGTACAAAAAATAATTACTCATCTCGAAGTTATTTGATTGGTCCTTGATTTATTACATTTATGTGATTATTGCAGGCCTTTATGAAGGTGGAGTCTGGAAAATACGTGTTGAGCTTCCTGATGCTTACCCATACAAATCCCCTTCTATTGGCTTTGTGAACAAAATATTCCACCCAAATGTTGATGAGTTGTGAGCACTTCATATGCTATTAATCAATATTTATTTATTTATTTATTTTGGTGAATATTTATTGTGTACCAGGTAGTTTATGCATTGATATGGGTTGTTAATGAGTTAATACTTTTAGATATGGGTTTCATATATATGTCATTGATTGCTTTATTTTATTTATCTAATGTAAAAATTGCTTCTCTGTTTTTTTTTTATTTATTCTTTTGGGATTTTGTTCAAGAGGAAAATGAAATTTATTAGAAGTATCAAGTAACATAAACTCGTTATTGATTGGTGTTTGTGCACATTTGGATTATGACTAATTGTGCTTTGTATATTTCATCATCTGCAGATCTGGCTCGGTATGCTTGGATGTCATTAACCAGTCTTGGAGTCCAATGTTTGGTAATTCAGTTATAGGCTTTTGCAGTAAAAGTTTTAATTATTCACTATTTAAATGTTCTATTATTCTGTGTATGTTTTGACATATTGGTATATAATTATCTAAATGAAATTCGATAGCCTCTTTCATTAATGTCCCCTTTCCTTATTTATTTTATCTATTATGCTTTTTGTTTCTTATAAATGACCAATGTTTCTGTGTTTTTTCAGATCTTTTAAATGTTTTCGAAGTTTTTCTTCCTCAACTTTTACTTTATCCAAATGCTTCGGATCCTCTCAATGGTGATGCAGCATCGTTAATGATGAAGGATAAAAAATTGTATGATCAGAAAGTTAAAGGTGAGTATATAGTTAATTGCACACAAATTTTAGATGAATAAAAAATATTTTTTTTATTGGAATCAAAATCAAAAATAGTTTATTTTATAAAGATCAAACACATTTAAACCTTTAAAATAAATATTATAATAGTTTTCTTTTCTTAATCTGTGATCCAACTATAACATTTGAAGATCCTTTTAGAATTAGAATCTCAATTTTAAGGTCCTATTCTATGGAATTATAATATGAGGAGTTAACAACACATTTTTTAATGCATAATTATTGATATTTTTACTTCTTTTACATTCACTATCATCACTTTCATTATCATAGGCATTGCACCCTTATTACAAGTATTGTTATCATTATTATCATCAACATTATTATTTTTGTTGATTTTGACATTGTCGCCTATACCATTGATTATTATTATTATAATCTATTGTTTTAACACCATTATCATTAGTATCAATCGTCACTATTCTTGTGTGTACCACTGATAATCATCATCACCTATCTCAATTATTCCATTTATTACACTTGTCATTATCATCACTATCATTTTATCATTGTCGTTGCTATATGGCCGTTGCTTCCATCAATATTATTGGTACTATTATTTTTGTCATCAACTATCTTGTCATCACTTGTGGATGAAATTTACTTTTAAATTTGATGTAAATATACCTGTAACTATCCTTGATTAAAGGAGTGAAAATGGAATTTTAATTAAATTCTTTGCTTAATCCAAAGGCAAAGATAAGAATTCTGGTGTATAATTTCTATTATGATGGAATTGGAATTAGAATCGCAATCCTAAACTACGATTTTGATTACATGCACTAAACAAACGTTTTATTGTAATTTTTCATATGAATCCTAAACTAGTTGGTTTCAGATTGAATAGCTTAACATCCTGGGCGAATCACATCTGGATTTTGGTTTGTAATGATAAAACCGTCCGTGTGCTCTGGACCAGTGTTTCCCCTCTTTTTATATTCTCAACACCAAAGAAGTTGTAACATGCAATAGTTTAGTACTACATACATTGGGTTGTAAATTATTCAAACATGATGATAGTTTTTGTACCCGAGACTGCTTCATATATTTCTTAATATTTGGATTTATTTTTAAATTATGGTTGTTTGGTGAATGGGGGTTATTTAACGATGACAAAAGATGTATAAAAATTGCTCTGCTATTTGTGGGGACAGAGTATTGTGAGCGGTATGCTAAGAAGGAAAACATTACGAATTCTACAGCTGATGAGGAGAGTGGAGATGAGGAAGACATCAGTGAAGAAGAAAGTGGATCTAGTGATGATGACATTCCTGGTCACGTTGATCCTTAAATGGATTTAGTGGTCTTCCATTTATACCTCTAAAGGGTCCATGTAATACAAATCAAAGCATTGTTACATGATTATCACTTGTTAAATTATAAGACGTAGGAGATTATATATACACTATTTTTCTGCCTGTAAAAATACAACTCTCATTCGTCAGTAATTTCATGAAAAGGTATAATGTAATGTGTAGTTAGAGTTTTAATCGTAGTTTACCTTTTGTCTTCATTATTTTGAAACCAAGAAATCTAGGAAGATACTTGCCGAAATGTGGGAGTATTTACAATGATGGAAATATGCCATTTGCTGATGTACTTAAATAAATAAATGGGTTGTACCGTAAGCCTTTGACTTGATAGTAAGCACTAACATAATTGCTTTAACATCTAGAATAAGAACGATAAGAAAATCAAATACCCCAAAAAAAAACATACTATACAACAATGAAAGAAAACAAATAAGTAACTTTTAATTCTACAAGCTGTATCACTTCACATGAATATGTTATCTTCAACTTCTTATTCTGTCCTGCATTCCTAAACCAAAAGAGTCCAAGTCTTTAAAAAAAACAAGAGGAAATGAGCCAAAAATAAGGACGCCAAACTAGTATTTTAAAAATAAAATTTGGATATAATTTTTGAAATATAATTAGTATTATTCTTCGATTAAAATTAGAGTTTTATCGAGAGTATATATAAACATATATTAATGAAACTTATGTTAATCTATAATACTAAAATAAAACTCTAATTAGAAAATAACTCCAATTATACTTAAGTAACTATAACTAAGTTTTGTTTAAAAAAGATCTACAAACGAGCATCAGTGCATTACTTTAATGTTTTTGTCTGAAAACTAAATATATATGCGCTATTACTTTGTCTTGTAAGGAGGTGGTTTTGGTTTTGTTCTGTTTTCATATTTTACCCTACAAATTTTCTTTCTTCATTTTTTTACAATATGATACTTTGGTTGATGATGATTGCTTTAATATCAACAAAATAAAAGATGATGATTGCTTTAGAGAAGGGGAAGTAACCCCAGTCTTGTTCAAGCAATAACAGATGAATTGGCTGAACAGACCTTATCTTTTTGACTTCTTGCTGGTTAGTACGGGGTCTGAACACCATTTTAGTTGCATTGCACACTACTTTGGACAGACAAAATCATAGGTTTAATTAGTTGCCATGCGTGCAAGAATACCGGGCCCTACCATTTACTTTTGTCTTTTGAGGATCTCTATAGTGTCACCATCTCCAAACATGTGAAAATTTCACTACAGGGAGGCTCATGAACTTCTCACACTATAGCTATTATCATTTATTAGCAACATTAATCATTTCTACTTTTAAATGTGCTCCAAATGCTTGTATACATGATGTGTCAAAAACACGCTTATATGAACAAAAATAAAGTCTTATCTTACCAGATGAGATGGATTTGCACAAATGTCAATAAACTCGACGACCAAACTTGGAAAAAGACATCATTTACACTTTAATTTCTGATATTACAACTTCAACCTTCAAGCCTAAAGCTTAGTACACCAAAACCACCCAACATTTGCTACAGAAAGATTTAGAACTCACGGGTCCATTCAAACTATAGATCTTAGATAACATCCATGTTTTGAAACTTTTTCTTTATTTTTTCTTTGCAGCTATCATGCCAAGATTGGCGTGGAATGGTCATTATTATCTGCAATGATTCTATACTCGAATAAAGGAGCCACACCCTACAAATAGACAGCTTTGGAATTTAGAGTTATCAATTTGTGTTGTATATGTAAGTCAACAGCTTAATCATTAGCCTATTTTCTTTTCTGTTATAGCCATCTTGTATTGTTCTGTTACCCATACAAGTCAAAATGAATTTTTTGCACAAAATTGTCATATAATATGAAGATTAATGTTACATCTCCGAGTTATCTACTTATAATTCTTCGAACATACTGATTGAATAAAAAAATTTACTGTTCACTCTATTTGATTAACTTAAAAGGAATTATATACGCGTAACAAGTGACACGAAATAAAATATTCTAACATTCAAACCAAATGAGATATTGTTTTGGAAGAACTTCTGGTGGAAAAGTAAAGTGTAACTACTTTCCATGGCCACCAACCACTGACAATGTGGTTATGTTCGTGGACTTTATCAAAAGGTCCCATACACTCTTCCATCTATCACGTCTTCATTCATTTCCTTATAAACCCACCTCGATCTCCTTCATCTTCACCTATTAGTATAAACTCAAAAAGGAAAGAAGTTTCCTTACTACAAAATCCACATAAACAACCATACATAACAGTTTCTCATGCTTCTCTTCTCAGCTCAGTCTTCATAATCACAATCTTTGTTACCTTCTCCAAACTCAATGCTTCTTAGAATGTGAGTTTAGGCTCAATCTTATATAACAGGTAATTATATATTTCATTCTAGTCATATCAGTAGTGGATGTGAAATCGATATTAGCTAGATATAATACCACCTTGAGTTCACGCCTGGAAAAAATCAATCACATAAAGATCAGTTTTCAGAATATCCATTGTAGTAACAGGAGTTTGTATAAGAAACATACAAACGTATGCTAAAATGCGCGGAATTGAACTTGAGGCCAAGCAAAATGGTGGCTTGAAGTACTCATATCCTCAATCTCCCTTCTCACCACTCCAAACTCCTAACGATGGTAACATTAGTAGCAACGATGAAGAAACAACAACGGCATCATCTCTCAGCAGAATCAGTCCACTCATTCTGTTGGTAATAATAGTTCTAGCAGTGATCTTCTTCGTGTACGGACTCGTCCACTTGGTTCTATGGTTCCTCATGAAAAGGCCATCACCTCCATCACTTTACAACTCCAACAGGTTCCACGAATCCACACGCACACGTGTTCTCCAACGCCAGCTTCAGCAGCTCTTCCGCCTGCACGATTCAGGTCTAGACCAAGCCCTCATTGATTCTCTACCCCTTTTCCATTACCAAGACTTGTTGGGGTCAAAGGAACCCTTCGATTGTGCAGTGTGTCTCTGCGAGTTTTCTGAACACGACAAGCTGAGATTGCTTCCTATGTGCACCCACGCGTTTCACATGAACTGTCTTGACACGTGGCTTCTCTCCAATTCCACGTGTCCTCTTTGCAGGGCCTCGCTCTCCAACTACATGGAGAATCATCAGAATCCGGTGTTTAACGTTGACACTGACAATTCTTTGGTTCTGCCAAATGGGGTGGAAGAGAACGCGCGTTTAGAAAGCCAAAGATGGGTGAGTTCTGAGGCACGAGTTAGTGGGAAAAGGGTGTTTTCAGTGAGGCTGGGGAAGTTCAGAAACAGTGGTTTGGAGGGTGGAGAGGTAGGGGGTGGTGGTTGTAGTTTGAATGAGAGGAGATGCTACTCCATGGGTTCGTATCGTTATGTGGTTCGTGATTCGAATCTGCAAGTGGTGTTATCTGGATCTCATGATGAGAGAGATGGTGATGTTTCGGAAAATGGGAAGATGATAGGAGACTCAACGATAGGTGAGAGCTTTTCTGTTTCCAAGATATGGCTTTGGTCCAAGAAGAAAAGCTTTCATGCTTCAAATGTACCTTTCCCATGATTTCTTCTTGTAAGAGCTAAGAAGGTGTGAGCAAGGTAGACTTTTATTTTCTGTCCAGAATTGCATGGCAATAATATTAATAGTGCTTTTGTTTTTATATATCATACCGTTAATATATCATAGCCGATACCACGTATTTGGTGTTTTTTCTTCTCTTCTACTTTATCCACTTGTCGTTGGAATCACATTGATCTAGCTTGACTGACAAAAAGTGTTCCAGCTTTTTATGGTTTTAGGAGGATTTTTATTCTAGATCATGGACATGAGAAAGAATATTGTAACAAATGCCATGAGTAAACAATCCAATGATTACTTTTTAACATGCATAACCCTATGTAAACTTTTTTAAAATTTTAATTTATGTACGAATTAATTTTAGTTTAAAAATATTTTTTTTTCATATGTTCATACAGCGAATTTCATTTAAATATATAAAATTTGAAATGTTAACCAACAAAGTTTAACTAGATATATGAAAAAAAAAAGTTGTTAGTAATACAGAAGGTATATTGGTGATTTATATGTCTAAAAAGAGAATTATTCTTCGGTGAAAAACAATAGAAATGTTTCTTTTGGAAGAGATATTTACAATTGATTAATAAATAAGAACTAATAGATAATTATACAATATAGCATGTATTCATCTCAAATAAATAAAATAAAATTATACTTTTAATCTATATTATATTTTTAATATTTATATTAATTTTCTATTTTTAAAATATTAATTTTAATTTTTTATCTTTTAAATATGAGTTAATTTAACTCTTTTGTTTTCAATTTTTGAACACAATTTTAATTCTATTTTTTTGGTTAATTCAAGATGCAAAATTTTTTATTATTATATTTATCTAAATGAAAATTAATGAACCCAGCTCATACTTGAAATAAAAAGACTTATAATGAAAATTATGTAAAAGACAAAAGAACCAAATAAATGTTTAAAATAGAATAAAAGAATAAAAGTTTAAAGTAACAATCAAAAAAATGATTTTTATTTATTTATTATTATTATCGAAATAAAAGGAAGAGAAGTGTGGGGGTTTGGGTTTGTTGACCCTTTTGTACCAACAGAGACAGAATCGCTGGCTCTCTCACTCACTCTTTCAAGCATGGGAACGACAACGACACCCCCTCAGTCTGACACTGTTCGCGTCTTCAACATACCTCAATCCGCCACCGCCAAGGACCTCCTCGACTTCCTCGAAGCGGCGGTGGGCCCCTCCACCGTCTTCGCCCTCGAAATCTTCTCCGACAACCCCAACTGGAAGTCCCGCGGCACCGGGCGAGTGCAGTTCGAGAGCGCCGAGGCCAAGTCCCGCGCCCTCTCTCTCTCCAACCTCCACCAACTCCTCTTCCTCTCCCACTTCCTCCGCCTCTCCGAGGCCTCCGACGACATCATCTTCCGCCCCCGCCACCACCTCCGCAACGGCGTCCTCTACACCGGCTTCATGCTCCACGACCACCGCATGAGCGTCCTCGACTCCTGGGAGGGCGTCACCGGCTGCGTCATGCCCCAAAGGAGGAAGCTTGAATTCTGGGTCTTCCATAATGCCGACTGTTACAGACTCGAGATTTTCTTTGAGGACATTTTGGAGTCTCATGGCTATTGCTTGGGAGAAGATGCCAAACTCAATGCCATACTCTTGAAGGTAGTACCTTTTGTTGCAAAGGATAAAACTTGCATGCAGTTTCATTAGGATTGTTGGAGTTTTGTCTCGTTATTATGCAGTAATCATATTCTTTTTGGTGCGAATTATGATCGAGGTGAAACTTTTAACTTAAGTTCTAATAGTTGAAGAATACCAAAAGCATCCATGAAAAGTTTTATTCTATTGTATATTGTATTTTACTCAGAATTGGAGTTTTAACTCGATAATTGGCATTAAGGTTAAGTAAAACTTCAATTCTGATTGGAGAATGATATGAATGTGAATTTGGACTTTAATTATTATGATTAATGGGTTTCTTTTCTTTTTTGATGGTGTTTTTCTTTTTCTCTCAGCTAAAATATGGGCCAAAGATTTATCAGAAAAAGACGGGGCCAGATGTGGCAGCCAAGTTTAAGGGGGATAGGTACCGTTTTTGTAAGGAGAATTTTGAGTTTGTTTGGGTGCGGACTACTGACTTCTCGGAGCTGAAGTCAATTGGGCACTCTACTTCATTTTGTTGGGAAATTGAGGAGGAACATTTAGCTTCGGATGTTTTTGCAAGTTTCCCCCTCTACAAGGAAAATTTGAGAGATTTGGCTCTGGAAGATGGGGAAGAATTTTGCTCTCCGACAGAAGCAGTTCCGCTTGTGAAGTGTGCTTCGGAATCCAAATTACCTTATGAGGCTCTTTTCCAACTGAATTCTCTTGTTCATACTCAGAAAATTTGTCTTGCTTCGGTGGATGATGAGTTGATTGACTTGTTAGGAGGCTTAGATGAAGAAAGTAGAGCTGTGATTTTTCAGAAATTGCACAAGATGAGCTCCACTTGTTATGAGCCTCTCAAATTCGTGAAGACTCAATTACATGTGCTGAGTACTAAGAGTAGAAAACTGCCACAATCGACGCAGAAAAGATTGACAGATAATAACATTATGAGCTGTCATAGAGCCTTGATTACCCCAACAAAGATTTTTTGCCTCGGTCCTGAGCTTGAAACCTCAAATCATGTGGTAAAGCACTTCGCATCATATGCTTCAGACTTTATGAGGATTACCTTTGTTGAAGAGAATTGGAATAAGCTTCCAACTAATGCAGTATCAACTGATATTCAAAAGGGAATCTTTTCAAAGCCTTTTAAAACTGAAATATATAAGCGCATATTGACTATTCTCCGAGATGGGATTGTAATTGGAACGAAAAGATTTGAGTTCCTGGCCTTCTCTGCTAGTCAGCTGCGATCAAATTCTGTTTGGTTATTTGCTTCTAATGACAATGTGAAAGCGGCAGATATCAGGGAATGGATGGGAAGCTTCAACAATATCCGCAGTGTTTCTAAATGTGCAGCAAGGATGGGTCAGTTGTTCAGTTCTTCTATGCAAACTTTTGAAGTTCCCCCTCAAGATGTGGAGATAATTCCAGATATTGAAATTACCTCTGAGGGTGTAAGCTACTGTTTCTCAGATGGTATTGGAAAAATTTCCCAATCTTTTGCTAGGCAAGTTGCCCAAAAGCTAAAATTGGATCATAGTCCATCAGCATTTCAAATTCGGTTTGGTGGATATAAAGGTGTAATTGCTGTTGATCGCCATTCCTATAGGAAGTTATCATTGCGAAGCAGTATGCTTAAGTTTGAATCCAAAAACAGGATGCTTTGTGTCACTAAATGGAGTGAGTCAATGCCTTGCTTTCTCAATCGAGAGATTATATCCCTGATGTCTACCTTAGGAGTAAAAGATGAGGCATTTTTGGCAATGCAGCAGGAACAATTGCATTTGTTAGGTAGGATGTTGACTGATAGTAAGGCGGCTTTGGATGTTTTGGAAAGTTTAAATGCAGCTGATTCAAAGAGCATTCTGGTGAAAATGTTGCATGAATTTAACGAGCCAAACAAGGAGCCTTATCTATCGATGATGCTTAAGGCTTATTATGCATCCCAATTATCTGACTTGAAAAGTAGATGCCGAATATTTGTTCCCAAGGGTCGAGTCTTAGTTGGTTGTTTGGATGAAACTGGTATTTTGGATTATGGCCAAGTATTTGTCCGCATAACTGTGACAAAAGCTAGGGAAAAATTTGGAGATGAAAGCTTAAGGAAAGTGGATGGCGATGATAGCACACGAATAATAGTGGGGAAGGTGGTGGTCACAAAAAATCCTTGTCTTCACCCAGGTGACATCAGAGTCCTTGATGCTATCTACAACGAAGAATTAGAGGAAAAGGGTTGGAGGGATTGCCTTGTATTTCCTCAAAAAGGACATAGGTATGTATATAATGAAGTACATTTACAACCATATTTGGTTGTAATCATTTTTTTATTCAACATGGAGTAATTAGGTTATTTACATTCATCTTTGTTCCAGTGTGCTGTCATTGACAACCATGAGTCATTTAATCATGTGCTAACAAAATGGGATATGATTATGAACTGGAGGATGAGATATAAAAGAGGAAACAGGGTGGTGTGAGCTAGTCTATCATTTGTCATTTAGAACATGCAGCATGTACTCACCAGATTCTTTCATTTACTTCCGAAAAAAATAAAATGATATTCCGAATGTTTCTAGAATTTGGTGTCCTTAGTTATCATCAGTTTATTACCACCTAATGTTGCCAATTGGTTCTTGTTCAATTTCTCAACTAGTCTTCTTTTAAGTTTTGCTGCCCCTGTGTGTAAAAGCAGTTCCTTATATTCATTGTGTGATGGACGTTTGATAATGATATTGGATTTTCTGTTGCTATGCCTTGTTAGGTATAAATTTATCCATAAGCTGTTAAGCTTTCACCTAACAGCTTTTAGGAGAGTTGGTAACTGGCATGGTGTTCGAGCCTTTATGATTCTTGATGATCAAGGGATCATAAGTTTTTTCCATAGCAACCCCCGTCTTCTAAATAAAGTTAAACTTTAGCACATAAAATAGGGGAGGCTTATCCATTGTCCATGCTTAACCAGAGGCTCTTGCATGACATAGTGGATGTCAAGTATAAAACCTTTATTAACTTTTCACCTGAAAGTTTAAGCTTTTAGAAGATTTGGTGTTTATCAATAGTCATTATTATCATTGATGTTTATCTTTAAAATATTTTTCTTATATTGATGTTTATTGCTGCTAATACAGGCCTCATCCAAATGAATGCTCTGGTGGTGATCTTGATGGAGATTTGTTTTTCATAAGCTGGGACAAAGATCTAATCCCATGTCAAACTGAGGCTCCAATGGACTACACAGGAAGCAGGCCTCGTATAATGGACCATAAGGTGACCCTAGAGGTAATTTTCATCGAAGTTACATTTTTCTTTTAAAAAAATTGATAAATGTAAAAACTGCTTCCTCATTTGTTATTTCCTTTCCGAGTAGGAAATTCAACAATTTTTTGTTGATTACATGATCAATGATACTTTGGGTGCTATCTCCACCGCACATCTAGTTCATGCCGACCGTGAACCAGAAAAGGCCAAGAGTAGAAAATGTCTGGAGTTAGCACATCTTCATTCCATGGCCGTTGACTTTGCAAAGACCGGAGCACCTGCTGCAATGCCTAGAATCTTAAAACCAAGAGAGTTTCCAGATTTCATGGAGAGGGTGGACAAGCCTATGTATGTCTCCAACAGCGTATTAGGAAAACTTTATCGTGCCATAATGGAGTCAGAATTGCAAATAAGATATAGCTTTGTGTGGTCACAGAAGCTTGCTGAAGAATCATATGATCGTAGTCTTGAAGTTGATGGTTTTGAGGCCTTCCTTGAGACGGCTTTAAGTTACAAGGAGATGTATGCGCAGAAGTTGAGCAGTTTAATGAACTTCTATGGTGCAGAGACTGAGAATGAAATGCTACTTGGCAACTTGCAAAACCGTGCTTCTTATTTGCAGCGTGATAACAGAAGATATGGTGATATGAAGGATCGGATTCTGCTCTCTGTTAGGGGCCTTCAGCGTGAAGCTAAAGAATGGTTTGAAAATAGTTGCCAACCACGTGAATATCAGCGTATGGCATCTGCATGGTATCATGTGACTTATCACCCGAGCTATTGCAATGAAAGCTTATGTTTTTTAAGCTTTCCATGGATAGTTGGTGACATCTTATTGCAAATAAAGTATGTAAACAAAGGACTTCACACATGAAGGCTTCCTCTAATGCTTTATGGGGAAAAATTCTGAAGCCGTTTGTGGTGGATGACATGTCAATGCAGATGTTGGCAAAATTATTACTATAAATTTATTTGGCACAAAAAATATTTACTAGCTGTATGTGCAAATGCGATTCTGGATGGCTTCATGTGTGTCCATTTTTTAGAGCTACCAAATCGAGTTAGGCAGGCTCATCGCATCAAAAGTGGGTTGGGTTAATTTGACCTGGTTTGTACCTTGCGAATTATTTATTTAGGTTAGTTTAGTAATGTTAAGCCAATCTGCACTGAAAACAAGTATGGATGTGTACCTCACAAGTCGCAAATCATCACCTAAATCTTAAATCCTACCGATTGCATACCACCTATGAGGATAAGTAAACTCAGATTATTCTTAGATTGTGTAAATAGAACATTTTTAATCTTAATATTTCTGTTATGTTTACCAAAAAGTTTGTTTTATTGTAATTTAATTGAAATAAATAATGTTTTGTAAAATTAGTGACTATTTTAATTCCATTTTGGGTCTCTAATTTTTACGTTTTTGTCCCATGAAACTGTATATGTAATTTTCTCTCCCTGTTTTATTTCATTGTTAGCATGTTTTATTGTAAATTTAACCTCCACTATCATTAATCAAATCACTCGTTCTCAATTTACGAGCACCCAAGGCTCAATTATCCCTTTTACATATTGGCAGACACTGCCATGTCTGTTTCTGCTGTTTATCAATAATGTTAATTCATTGCCCATAGTGAAGACATCAACACAAGCACGATTGTCTCTACACATAATATATTTACTGTATTTTATAATTAAAATTTAAAAGCTTTTAAAACTATTTTTAAATTAAGTTTAACTATTATTTGCAACGTTGTATAATTAAGAATCGGAATATTTTTCTTCAATTAAATTACGTACGTTTCTTTCAATCAATGATGTGATTTTTTTGGTTAATTTTTCCTCATTAATTAATATTAATATCTAAAAAACGTACGTTCATGTTTTATTAATTTATCAAACAAATACAGTGAAATTGCATTGAAATTAACTAAAATACACATAAATGATCCAAGTATAACCATATAGATGATACCTTGTAGGTTGCTATACTCATGTATTTTGTGTTCAATAGTAACATACCGAAAATTATTATAAAAAAAAAATTAAAAAACAAAGAAGCAAACTTTTGGAAAAAGAAATATCCGTGGAAGGAACGGTTGATAATATGTAACAATAGAAGAATGATTGAAAAGGTATTGGCAGAAGCATTTCGGAAATGTCTTAATCTAATTATTGATAAATAATAGGTTTACCCAAAGATATAAAGATTAAAGAGCAGTTGTTGTCTGTAAGTATAGGGGTCACTTATTGAGTAGACAGTAGTAAGGGAAGGTGGTGGAACAAGTTCCTATGAATTTACCCTACCAAGTACTTTGAAGGGTGACGAAGACGACACTCCAAACAAAAAGGCGATACTGAAAGCCCCAAGTTGTACAGCTAATCCTTGTTCATTTCGTGGAAGCCTCATTTTATTGATTGCAAATTGCCAATTCGAAAAGCAAATCCCCACCACCCATGGCCTATCCTTGCACATTATTATAATAATAATGATCACTACTTGACTAGGACTACTACCTATTATTATGATATCCGGGATTGGAAGCCAAGCCTTCTTTTTTTACTCCTCTCCACCCACCCAAGAACCAAACCAACCATTAACAGAAAACACCCAATTAATTTAAAAAAAGAAAAAAGAAAAAAAGGTGTATATACAGAATAAGAAGCACCCATTCCGATGTATATACTATATACCAATATGAAAAGAAAAATAATTAAAATGAAACAATGGGCGGTAGAATGGGAAATGAAGGAGCGAATGAAAGCAAAAAGCGAAAAGTGAAGCGAAGGGGCAGGCAGAGGAGAGCCAATGCTACCTCGCCAGTCGCCACTCAGACCAAAACGACATCATCGATGTCACGAGCCTTAGGGGAAAGCGACTTGACGTTGACGGCAGCATAGCGGGTGGAGAAATTGCGGAAGGTGGCTTCGTCGTTGAAGTCCCCGTTATGCCCCTCGTCGAAGTTTAGGGCGTAACTCAAGGGATCATACTGGTACTTGGGCGTGCGCTTGGAGTTGGAGTTGGAGGCGCGGTTGCGGTTGCGGTTGAACCTGCGAATGAACGTTTTCCACCTGGGACCTGCCACGATCTCCGACCACTCGCGAATCTTCTTAAGAGCCCGAAGCCCCCGCGACCACCACCGCTCTCCACTTGGACCTGAATTGGAGTTGGAGCGGACCAGCTCCCACCATGAGGAACGACGTCGTGGGCCGAAGCAGCACGGCAATAACAAGGCGCACCGAGAGTTGGATCTCTCTTGGGCTTGGGAGGTGGGAGTGGGAACGGATTCAGAATCAAGCTCGATGGACATGTCAGCTACTCAGATCAGATTATATGAGACAGATAGAGAGAGAGAAAGAGAGTGTGCCCCGTCTTCGCTTCAACTATAAATAGCTAATACAAATGGCTGGGCTGCCTTTGCACGCTCTATTTAATTCCAAATGTAACCCTATGTCAATGTCTCTTCACCCACACTACTCACCATCCACTCACCCAACTTTATTACTTCTTAAATCAACCATTCCTACTATCATTTCTTCTAATATTATCCCTGTCACTTCTTTCTCACCAATAATAATATTCTAACATCACTTTTTAATTCCTCTATATTCAAAAATAAAAAAACATTATCAAATAAATATTGTTAAAATATCATCACCATCAACGACGCAACAAGCGCCCACAGAAAATAAGATCACCAGCACCACACGTCACACACACGCACAAGCACAAACACGGGAATCTCATTCTCATCATCAGCTAGTGCTTGCTCACTCGCAAGTCCTGATTGCCCTCTCTGCTGGGTCAAAATACCCTCACCTATGTATATCCATTCACACGCATACACATGCATATGTTTCCGCGATATTTCTTCTGCTGTTTAATTACACCTAAATTGATCTACACTTGTAACCATAAAGTATGCACTTTCCCTTTAACATCACATTCACAGGTTCAGCGCCCCTAATTTCATTTATGCAACTCTCTATTCATTCACTTTTTCTTCAATAAATATAATCAACAAAAATTATGCCTTACTTAAAGTCAACTTTAAAATTTTAATTTGAATTCATTTAGTACACAAAAATTACAGCTAACAAAAATAGGGTCACCCACCCATCACTGCTCCATTTCAAAGGAAGCAACGTTGACTTAATTTCATTCTAAAACAAGAAAAGTAGTATTCATGTTATACAATTAGACCCGCTTAAAACCTTTTGTATGTTATATTTTTAAGGAAGAAAAATTATTTTTCAAAATCACCTTTGATCAACCATAGGATAACATGTAACCAATTCTTGAAAGACCAAATCAAAATATAAGATAAATTTTAGTATTAAAGACCAAATCATCAAAACTAAATCTAAGAGAAATATTTGTTTAATAAAACAAAGTTAATTTAAAATAATTTTTTAAACTATAATTAAATAAACATATTAATTTTTTTGAAATATCACTCAAATAAATATATAACACTATCTTCACTTGTATACATTAATTTTTACTATGTCACTAATTAATAAGAAATGCCTAATGCAAACTCTCATGTCAAGAATGGAACATTTCAAATGAAAAGTTTGTAAGACTAAATATCTTAGGGTGGGCCAAATAACAACTCAATACCAATGACCTAATAGTCCCAACAACTTCTAAAATAAATTCTGATACGCTTCTAAAATTTAGACTTAAGTGGTATCTTTAAGCCATGTGAGACTAAACACACCCTGTTGACTGTTGAGACGACAATTGAGGCAGCCAGCCAGACCACAATTAAGATGGTTTTCTAACAGATATGGGTGGAAAATTGTGCCGTTAAATTTAGTGGGTTAAAATTGTCATGCACTTCAATTTTAAATCAGACATAAATACACTAGTGCTTGCTCTTAATTTAGGGAAAGGAGAAAACTTTAACAAAAG